GAACAATTGACGTTCTTCGTAACGGTAACGGGTAAGCAGTTACCGTACAAGTAACGATAATGACCAGTTATAAGTAACGATAACTGTTCAGTATATCTTTCAACAGTCAAATCTCTAAATATCTAGGTATCCAGGGTGAGGGTGAAAGTTAGTAGCCTCAACTTTCACCCTCACCCTGGATACCTAGATATTTAGAGATTTGACTGTTGAAAGATATACTGAACAGTTACCGTTACTTGTAACTGGTCATTATCGTTACTTGTACGGTAACTGCTTACCCGTTACCGTTACGAAGAACGTCAACTGTTCAGCAGTTACAGTTACTGTAACGCTAATGGTAACTGTCACAGCCCTAGTCGAGAGGGGCTTGCTCTCAGTTCGTCCCATGCAACCTTTTTTTTTCAGCTCGTCCCATCAGCACTTCTCTCACAATTCATCTCATAGTAGTTTACACTAATTAGCTTCAATATATTTTATTCTAAGAAAAGTAACAGCAATAGTATGGGTTATTTTTTTAATTGGAATAATACTAATTCAGCTTTATTCAGTATACGAGCAGAAATGATGATAGCTTGTTGTCAATATTCGAACATAATTTCTTTCTTTTTGCGGCACGAAGTTTCGATCTTCTGTACATAATGATATTGTACTTAAACATGATCGATCCTGACATTACCATTTAATATTTGTCTTGTTTGCTCGTGTTTTCGGTCTATTGATACCCGTTATGATTCAAAAGCGGTTTGTCTTTTACAGTAGATGTTTCACATCTAACAGTTTAACTTATTTAGTTGATTTAACTCTGTGATAGTAGTGGCTAACACGACACATTTTGCCATGTGGTCTCATATAGTATTGTCTACAGTATTCATCCTCGCCGTCTAAACTGTTCGATGGTCAACAGTTTATTTAGTTTTAAATTTATATCTCAGATGAACTGAGAAAAAGTACCTGTATGGTCACTTGCATTTATTAAAAACTTAAATCATTGAACAACACTCATTCCCAGTTTGCCAACTATTTGACTCTCTAGAGTATTGTGAGGAAAAAAGAATCAGTGCACGAAATTTTCTACGTAATTTTATCGTTTCGCATCCGTTTTTCAAAAAAGACTTCATATTAACCTTTACTGTATCAATTGACAACTATGTACTAACCAAGATGGCATAGTTAACAATTCTCTATATGCTATTGTAAAAATTTTCTGAAAATCCATCTTCGTTTTGCAGATATATTCAAAAAAGAATCGTGGGGTTCCGACTGACTCGTTTTTTCAGACACGGAAGAAAATCGATTCATTAAAAGCGATAGGGAGAAAGAGTCAGTTCATCCAAATATATGGAGTTTTCGAAGAATAACTTCTACAGGCTTTCGAAAAATGATTTGGATACTACTCTATGTGTAAAAGTTGTTCAACAGATCATCTGGAGCATATGCTAAATCTGATATTTAATTGGTAAAAAGAGAGAAATTTAATGATAAACTGAAATTCTAGGTAATTTTTGACCATATTCTAGTCATAATCTAATTCATACTCTGAATTCACAGCAAGTATATTCAATAATGTGTTCATGTCTTCTGATGTAATATATTCTCAAGAATCAAACGAAAAAAGAGCGAAGTTTTTACCATGAAAAATAGCCGAGATATTCAGGATATTCCACCTTTTAAACAACCTTTTTCAAATATTTCTATTTGAACTTTGAATATTGAAACTGAGAGTAAACCTCCAGAGGACATCATTAAGAAACGGATTATTTGAGTATTTTTCTCTCAAGTGCTCCTCACTCTGAAAAAGTGGAGCTGTAATATGTCATGCTTATTTTCAATTGTTTGCACTTCTTCACTTTATCTGATAACTTTTGATTTTAATTTTTCTTTTTACAGTTGCATTGTAGAATTCAATGAAGTGACTTTTTAACAGACCTTTTTTATTCTGATACATGTAAGTTCATCACAGAATCATTCAACTTATTTGAACTATTTATCAAGAATTTGATACGTTTCAATCAAGCGTAAGACTATACTGTTCGGTTCATATATTCAAAAAATCAATGACTCTCAGGTATTTTACTATAGTTACTATTTATACGCGTTTTTTTGCGTCTAATACCAGTAAATAAGCCACGCTACTTTTACCGCGAACGCACACGAATAGTGTACGCGCAACACCACTACATAAGACTATATTAATTATGTCGTAAAGCTATTATTAAGATGTGATCAGATTTTGAAAATTTTTCGAAAACTCAGTAAGAGCTATAAGAGCTAATTATTAATTAAGACATGACGATTCTCGTGATGCCTATCATGAATGTGATTTTGCGTTTTTGCATGAGAATCTTTATTTTCTCCCCATAAAACCATTTTTTATATCTGTAAAAATGCGAAGAAATGTATAGAAAAGAACTTTGGTCTCAATATCTCTTCAATGTCAAAATGTGTACTGTCTGTATTGATGTCGAACGAGTTTCTTTTTATGCAATCTGATCGCCAGATAGCTGTAAAGGCTCAGAAAATGCTAAGGGACGTGGTTTCTTGCGGATCAGTATTTTTGTTAAATTTGGGGTTGGTCAAAACCCTACCATTGATTTACAGTGATTCAATGGAGTGTTGTCAAACATTTCGATCCATTTTTATGTATTTTCGATGCTAATCGGTGATGTGCTGGTGTATATGAAAAATGAAAAAGAATATTATGACACCAGTCAATAGCCTTTTTTTGTTTTAGTCTTGGATCTTTGTCTCTCCAATTCGGCTTTCGCACCTTCATTCCGAATGTGTCATAATCTTGAATCATGTGTACAGTATTGACGCTATGTATGCCATCCAATAGCCTCTTAAATTGTCCATCAATAAAATCCGGTGGATACTTATTGAGGAGTAATCGATATCTTATTTCTGCGAATGCTTTAACGCAATCTGTTGCGTTAGAACAACTACTTTTCGAACTTACTCTCACAATGCCCTCCCCATCTCCGCGACATAATATACGAAATACAAAACCAGGCTCAATTATTCTTCTTTTCCAATAAACGAGTCTTCGTGGTACTGTCGTTCGCGGTAATGTCGTTTTTTATATTCGCGATACTGTCGTTCGTGGTAATGTCGTGTATGCATGTTTCGTGTTTATGTTATCAAAGAAGTGAAGGGACGTAAACAACTTCGACAGTATTTTTGTAACAATATTCCCCACATTTGATCATCCACAATCGCGGTTAGTGAAAGAATTTATATTACAAAGTTGACTTTCTCTAAAAAATACATTTTGTTTACCTGACATTATGGCGTTATTGAAAATCGAGATTCTCCCTAATGAATTGTTACATATGATATGTGGTTATCTTATCGTCAATTGCTTTGAACTTAAAGGAGCTAGTCTTACCGAATAATTATTCAACATGCCATTTGAGCTTGTTTTATCATTATAATCAAAGTTATGTGCGATTTTCGAATTTAACATGATTAACATTAGTGGAATGTTTAACTGTAGATATAGATTTGTGTTTGTCTAGACTGGAGGAGTGACTTCAGCATCTTTTATGCATTTCTTTGATAAACTTTCGTCGACGGTTTTTTCGTCACATCTTGGTATGCTTTTTTTCGCCACCGCATTATTGCCTTAAATGTCCTATTTATCTTACACACAGACAAAAGATGTTGACTACTATTGCTTTGATTCTTTGATCCCTACTTCACTTCTGATGTTCTTGTCGTATCACTACAGTTTGAACTCCACAATATTGCACAAACAGTGCTGTAGTATAAGTAGGCATGCAACGTTCCCAAGCTAGGGTCTGCTGATCGGCACCGAACGGTCTGTTACCGAATATGTTCGGTCATCAAACTGTTCGCAACCGAATATGTTCGCTGCCGGTCAGGGAGCCGCGAAAAAAAACACATGAAAGAAACCTCTGTAAAACAGAAAAAATGCTGAAGATTATACCAAACGAAGGAGCAGCCACGATTACGCCTTAGTCGTAGCAAGTCATGTAAAGAAAAGTTTGAATTAGAGCAGCAACTTTATTCCAGGAAGTTCAAAGTACCTTTAGTTTCCGTTATATCTTATTTACTCTCTAACTAGCATACTTTACTAACGTGGCCTCTGTAGCAAATTGATTTACTTTGTTTTCATGCAAAAATGCTTTTCCTTACTGTGCAAATAAAGTACGCAGAAAGTTGCTTTCCTAATTCGAATATATCTTTATAAGGTTTATGGCACTTTCTCCTAATTGTTCCTTAACAGAGCACTCATCCATATCTCTGCTGCGAAAAATATAAACTATCGCATTTGCAATCTTCGTCCGAACACGTTCGATGACCGAACATGTTCGGCAACGAACCGTTCGGTCATCGAACTGTCCGATTCGTGGATGCCAATCAGAATTTTGCGAGTCAAAGTATAGTTCAACGAGCGCTCAAACGTCTGACTGCCCGTATGTCGGCTGACGTCCTTGTTGACACTCCCAGCAAAGTTTTTTGCGTATTAGTGCCAGTAGTTCCTAGTTGACACCTCCGAGAATGCCAATAGTTATTCCGAATTAAAATTGCTGTAATAATAAATAAAACCCAGATGCCTGCACGTGTGATAAAACATAGCTTTTCGATAGTGTAGGTTACATAATGCAAATTTGGGCTGACGAATCCCTTATGTGGGTTTATATCATCGTTTCAGAATGTGAGAATGAATCGATTGAAAGGATTTCAAGCGAAAATGTTTTGGTCTACACAATGCACTCCCCGTTATTTTAAAGATAATCGTTTTTTATATGAGCCATAGAGAAAAATCTTTTTTGTCTGAGTAGTTCCGAGAACTCTGATATATTCTCCGAGGCTATCGTTCAACATAAGGGGAGCAAAGATAATATGTCTTAGATGAAAATAAATTCTACAAGTTACCAAAACGATGGCTGGTATTGTTTTCATTACAGCTGGTTATCATTATAATTTAGTAAATGATAATTTTTATTTCTATTAAAAAACCACAACATTATTTCTACTCAAAACTCACAATTGACATATGGTATTTTCGATTGTCTATTTTCAGATGTAAAATACAATTTTGTTTCAACTTCTTGACCTTCTATTGTAGTATATGAACTTATCTTGAATGATTTATTTGGATCATTTATATTTGATTGTAATATAATAACTATTTTTTTTTCTGCTAATGTATTCGTTTGTTTTACATAACATGTATTTTGATATATTAACTGCTGTTCTTGTTTCCATCCGACACAATTCATTATTTCTGTAAACTTATTTATACATATACCATTCTGTGGATCAATTGTAGCTTGAGCACGACTACCATTCAAATAAGACACACCATAGAATATAGCCTCAAACTCGTCAATAAAATTTTGCCAATCACGATAACCAATAAGATGCTGATCCAAAGACATAACAGGTTCAATATAACAATAGCCTGAGATTCTTGAATTCATAACTTGACCTTCATATGTAAATTGATATGTTGTTGTTGTGGGTAACATTAACTGAGGTAAAAACAAAAATGGTTGATTAGCATTACTTTTTGTTGCTAGATTATCACCAATGATAAATGACAAGGCATTAGGCAAAAAATATAAGAATAAAACTGACAATATTATCATTGCTTATACTAAAATAGACAAAAAAGAAGTCAAACTGGAATGATTTTATACCTCATATTAGTTTTATTAGAATGTGTCAAAGATTTATTATGTCATTGATGTAATGCGATGTATTCTAAACTACTGTAATCATTTTAAGTTGTAGATTAGATCATGTGACTTGTCCAAGCATAATCGACCGACATACTGACTAGTGTCACTGAGTTTTTTTTCGGAATCATTTACAGCTGGAAGAATCATATTTACACCATTTTGTACATGTCATCTGATAACATCAATGACAAAAAAAATGTTTGAATTTGGTTGCTTTTGTAAAAATTTGCTGTTACATAATCTTCCAAAATAAACTTCTTCACTTTACAGAACTGAAATTTCTCTACAAAAGAGTATGAAAACGAGAGAAAAAGAAAAAAAAGTACGATAAGGAGAGTTTCAACATATATATTCGAAAACGCAATTCGAAACGCGTTTTAACATATCGAATACTTAATCTTTTTAAAGTTTTCTCGTAACATGATGGTCTTGTGCGAAAGGAACCATGAGAAAACTTTCCACTAGACAAGAAGTGTACTAGATAATCTACGCGAACGTTTTAAATCCGTTTAACGCTCATTTTCTCATGAAATCCGACGTGGTCTTTGCTAGCCAAGAATTTAAATTATCGACTAAAAAGAAAAAACTTTACAATTTTGTTTTCTTGGAAATACCTACTATTTGTTTCAAAATATAATGTTCTCCATTGTTCTTTCAATAACTTTTGACAGAAAATAGTTAGAGAGTAGAATCGGGCGGCTCTCCGTTTATGGGAAATAAATTTAGAAATACCACCTGCAGGTGGTATGCCTCTTCAAAACCTTTTGCAGAAACTTTCTCACCATTGAAGAAGTTTTGGACTTTCGATTCCACATACAGGCACAAAACGGGGCACCTGAAGTTCTCTCGATCTGAAGATGAAAGTACATAATGCCGCGATGATCAGCATAGCTGATTACCTGTGTCTCGAGTATTTCTGAGATTACCAAATCTCCAGATTTGGAGATAGCATAGTCTGCGGAGAACATCTCTAGCTCCAGGACCATAAGAGATGGAAATGTCGAGACGTCGAGAATTTTAGATCAACACCCAAGATATCCAGTCCACTATTTGGAGTCGAAGATCCAAAACTTCCTTAATGGTGAGAAAGTTTCCGCAAAAAGTTTGAAGAGGCTTACCACCTGCAGGTAGTATTTCTAAATTTATTTTCCCATAAACGGACAGAACCCCAGATTCTACTCTCTGGCTATTTTCTGTCAAAAATTATTGAAAGAACAATGTAGAGCATTATATTTTGAAATGGATAGTAGTTCTTTGATGAACAAGAGGGGACACGAAATGTTTTATTCAATTGTTTTTCAAGGTTTTTTCAATTAAAACCTTGTTCTCGTTCCCACATCCATCAAAAAAATGTTATAATGATAAACGGAAAAAAACGGCTGGAAGTAATCATATCTAGTGTATATGATAATAATTTCAGTCAGATTCCTTATGAAAGAAGGCTTGGCTGGTATAGAGATGACTTTTAATTGCTACAAAAGAAAGAGTTAGTTTGAGGAAAATGCATTGAGTTATACATGGTCATCTCTTGAGTTATAAAACATATATATCTCGAATAAAAGTTTAGAATAATCTAGCAGATGTTCGATTTTGAAGAAGGTACTTTGCTTTATAAGAATAAGTTGTTCGTAAAAAGTTTAGTTCGTCTACAGATGTGTGGACGATTTTTCAAAAAGTAAAAAATGATGAATTTTTCATATTCAGTGGTCGATCTTTAAAAAGGCATAACTTCGGAAAGGAAAGTTGTGAGAGATCTGAAAGACATTTTCGTTTTGTAGAAGATATTTAAATCTATACGGTGGCATATACAACTCGAAAATCGAAAATCTTAATGGAAAAGAGGAAGTACTCTTAGAAAACATTTTTTCCGACTTGAACAGGTTGAATAGAAGTTGTAAGAACACTTTTTACAAACTTACTCGAAACTATGTCTTTGATCAGTTTGTTAGAAAGCAATATGGAAAAGTTGATAAGATCAGTTACTCTATACAAAGAGATTATCATATTAAAAGAATTCAAACGTTCTACCGTATAAAAAACTTATTTTAAATAAATTACAAAATGAAAAGTGTTTTTATCAGAGTTGGCGAGGATGTCTTTTGATCCTTCTTTCAATTCAGTTCTTTTATTTAGTAAGTTCATTTACTATGTACTGAAGAAGTCTTTTAATATTATAATCTCTCTGTTGTAAGCTGCATGTAATGCAAACTTAAAGTGGAATGTATTTTTCAATTTATCACATACCACTCGAAAGAGGACTTCAAACTGTACAAGAATATGTGGTGTTTATTTTTTTCTGACATTTTCATGTCAAAAAGTTGAAAATAACTCGAAGCATTTCAAAAACCGAAAAAAAAAACGACCTCTGTCGTAAAATCGATCTTTTTAAGTTGTATCATAAGATGGAACGTTCCAGCCATATTTTTCCGAATTAGCGTTAAAAACTGATTCAGAAAAAGATGCTCAGTTCATTTCAGAGATATACCTCCGGAATGGATCTAATATTATTTTTTAACTCAGTTTTCAACGCTGAATAAGTTAGTTTGGAAGTTCAAAAACGTTCAAAAATTCAAGTCGAAAAATCTAACTGTTTTGAACATCATCGCTTTGTCGAGTTTTGAGGTCGTTCGAGTTTGCTCGATTTTTCGACATGCGACATGAAAGAAATGTTTCGGATAATTAAAAACTACATATTCTTGATCATCTCAAAAAATTCTACCGAATGGGTGTATAATAAGTGAAAAAAACTTCCACTTAATGTTTGAACTAATACATTTAATACATACAACTTTTTCAATATTGATGAATTAATCGATAATTAACAAATATATCCCGGTAACGTGTCTGTGCGTTACTTCTTGCTCTTTTCGTGAATCTTATAACATTTGAATAAGAGAACGTGGAGAGTTGAGAGGTGCCTCATTGTGTAGCTAAAAGTGTGCTAGTTAAAACCAGATTGAGACTCATTTCAAACTATCAGTTTTGATCAGTTTTCTGCTATAGTGATTTTTTCAACAGCCATAACCCAATTCCCAGCGAAATGGGGCTATTAGAAATTTGATAGTATCAAAAAGATAGTTCAATATCTTACATTGCGCTTCATACAGATTTTGACGAACACACGTTTAGCTACAAAATGAGATGTCTTCCAGCTTTTCACAATGTTTTTTGTAAATTCTATAAATGGAATAAAACGACAAAAACGGTAATGTATAGACATTTGGTTGAACGTTACGCGGAATGGGTGATAAAAGAGTTTTAAAAACAGAATAAAAAGAAAACGAAAATGATAAAGTGACAAAACTATTTCATGCTGATTTCATGCTGACTATTTCATGCTTCAACTATTTCATGCTGATTTGTTCGATCATATATACTTTTTATGACAAATATATTACGGGATTTTTTTACTCGTAAATATTTGCTTTAAGAAAAGACTACTAACATAAAAATTGCAAAATTTTTGTCCCTAAAGAATTCTGTCATTAAAATGTGTGAATAGTATGTTACATATTAGAATATCACATTCAAAGAGAGGCTGATGAATTGTGAAACTTCCAGTCTACAACACTGATTTAATTCAATTTAAAAGGCATAACTTCAAGAAGGAAAGGTTGTAAGAGACCTGAACGACGTTTTCATTTTGTAGAAGATACTTAAATCTACATATATTTCACGATGATTAACAGAGACCGGAACGGGTCGGGTCGGATCCGATTGTCTCGGGTCGGGTTCGGGTCAATGTAAAAAATATTGGTTCGGGTTGGGTCGCGTTCGGGTTAAAGTAAAAAATATTGATTCGAGTCGGGTCAAAGGAAAAAAATTTCGGGTTTTATTCGGATCTTGCCACTAGAACACAAATCAGGAGAGTTTCGTCGGTTACAATTCACTCTTCTATTTTCAAACACATGTCTTTTTTATCAAAAAGAGAAGTACAGTGTTTTTTCCTTTCTGCTATGACGCTGTGT